TATGAACAAAATCTCGATGTAACACAATAAAGTATGTCAATTATAATCAACTAAGAGCTACATGATTTACTATATATAATTAATTAATCATGTGCTTAGTGTGTTTGAAAATTTTACGGAAATTATTTTAATGGTTTGCAAATTTTCCAAATGGTTCTTATATTTAGAAAAAATGGCAGAAATAGTCTAATATGTAATAGGACAATTACAAAAATAGTCCATATATAAGATGAAATTACAATAACAACCATTTATAAGACAAAATTAGAAATTTTGGTATATATGTAAGATAAAACTAAAATAACAACAAAATATGTAAACATTACATAAATAGCTTAGCCCTCTTAGCTAAATGGTGGAGAAGATTGAAAAATGTATGATTTTTTTTATAGCAGACCAATCACTAAGAAGTCAATTGAAGATGTTTGATTGAATATCTCACAAATCCACCGCGATCAAAGGTGAGTTGGGCTATCCGGTTATTCAATTTGATGATCTTTTTAAGAGAGTGGTAGGAAATGGGGACAAAACTCTTTTGGAAGGACCATTAGTTTGGCGTATAAGAAGAGTGAGGGAAATACAACAACTTTTGGCTATATCGAATCAGGTTGTTGATCTTTTTTTAAATGGTGAACAAAATGTTGTTAAAATATAATAAAACAGAAAGACACATGAATTTATTAAATTACCACCTTACACAAACATCCTTACTAGTTTTTAATAAAGGACACTATTAAATGAAGCTAATTAACAGGTCCAAAAATAGAATATGTTTTAAAAAATTCTTAGTATCAATTTTTTATTTTATGAAAAAACTATATTAATTATGTTTTGTAATTATACCCAACAGACAATGTCAAACTTTATTTTGTCCAATGATTTAATTAAAAATATATAAAATAAATGGTGGGACTAGGAATTTTTCAAGCGTTCTAAGAACAGTAGAGACAAGTTTAAAAAATGCATTAGGATCTCTAAATCCAAAGTATACAAGTTTTACTTATCGCAGACAAACGATGATTGAACAATAGGTTCGTTAACGCATTTTCTGACAATAGTAGATACTGCTTCAACCATTTATCCCCCACTACAACTACTAAAGTAGCTTGATAACAACACCATCAATTTTAATCAATCATTAAGGATAAACTAAAAAACATCAATGAGGCAAAGGTACTAAAGATCATGATAATGACCCAAAGAACAAAACTACAGAAAAGTTTACATAAAGGAGACTGATAAAACCATACCATTAACTTGTAAGCTTTAAATCAAGATTTGTTTTCTTCATCATCTTCTTCAATCTTAGGAGCCAAATAAAACCTTATGTAGCCCATCTCAGCTATCTTGTATTCAACCACCACCGGAAGCTCTGAAGATAGACTGAGTGTAACAGTGCTTGACAGTGGTGTAGCTTTAGTGAATGAATTCATATATCGCAATGCAAATGTCAAGGACACGGGTTCATTCATCTCAATCACAGTAGCCTCTTCTGGCTGCAATTACAAATCAAAACCATTTTAGAACAAACATTTGCATTCAATTAGTAAAATAATTGTGTATGTAGTTATGTGCTTACCTTATCTACTGTTGTGTTTTGTCTGCATACAACATTTGCAGTTCCAATATCACCTCTTGTTGAGAACTTGACACCTTCTTTAGTCACGGAGATTACAACTACAGGCAAGAAACAAAACATAGGATTACTTTTTAGATATTAATGGTGTTAATAGACAAATGTTGTGAAGATCTAGTTACCTGTGTCACCAATGCTGCTGAGATCTTTGCAAATTCTTGCAAATTCAGATGAAGGCATCCGAACAATGGCATGATACTCTGCTTCAGGTATGCCAAGATGCTCACTATCAATGTCCATAAGCTTCATCTCAAAATCAGCAATCTTATCTTGGGCTGTAGGACATGAGATAAAAACATCAATCTATAAAAATGTAAAAAGATTGACATATTTAACCACAATAGAAGCCCCAAAATCAGGATTAACGAGCAACTATGCGTTTATGTCTAGGCATAAGATCCTCATATTCGAACTTAAAGTGTGTTGTTGGCAAAACTGAACATAAATTTCAACCAGGTCCTATGTGTTAACATAATTGTCAATTAGAAGACTAAAGGATCACACACTATAAGGATCTGAAACCACAAGTACGCCGTTTCAAATCTCGATTAACGTTATAATGTTTGCAAAAAATGAAAAATGCACTTACTGGGGCTTTCAAACATGAAAGTAACGGTATCACTGCCATCGTCAGCCTTTAGAGTGATGATATCATCGTTTCCAGCGCACTTTAGCATCTTAGACATGTTACTAAGATTCATACCCATGGAAATGTTCCGGTCACAACGGTAATGTTCGAAGCCTTCCGATCTAAGAAGAAGAGAGACCAACGCCACGTGACTCGAGTCCATCGCCTGGAGCGAAAATCCGGTGGCTGAGCAGTCGAAATTGGCGTCGTTTACCAGATCTTTGATCGATTCCATCACCTTCTTTAAGAGACTCCCCTGAACTAACCTTAGCTCCAACATTTTTCAACTGAAAAGGATGGAAATCAAGAGATTCTAATAAGAAAATTAGAGCTAGGTTTTGAAAGACACGAAAAATTGGGGAATTTTGACGAATATGAGATATTGAGGTGTTTAGGGTTTATATATTAGGGGGGAAACAGCTTACGAGGGAAGCCAAACACTTATTGGCGGGACGATTGAAAAAACTAAAAGCCTTTTATTCCCGCCTTAATTTAATGGGCTTTTGAGTCTTGGGCTTTTGGTCTGATATGTTTCTCGTATTTTATCGGTTCAAAAACAACGATTTTTAATTTGATTTGGTTCAATTATAAATGTTGAATTTCATATCAATTTGATATAATTGAAACTTTATAAAATTGTATATTTCGATCTAAATATAATACTGATGCAAAAATATATTGGAGGTAGAAAATTACAGATGGAATGATGTATATAGAGCTTTGGAGTTTTCTTGAACCATTCGATCCAAGACATATTTATCAAAAATAAATATTATGATCAACCACAATCTGGGGTAATTTCTTGTTTGTTTATACCTCCTATGGTTAAGGTATTTATAATGTTTGTGATAAGACAATGCACAGTTTGTTCATACATTAGATTGTCATTTTTCATATTTTGTCAGTAATTAAGTTGTGAATGCGCACGCTCTGGTGGTAGATCATGAATATCATATATATGGCGAGATGTTTTGACATCTTCGTCGCGTTCCAAATAAGGTTGCATTATGTGGTTATTTGGCCTGGATTTAGAGTTATTAATACCGAAGTAAGGGTTTCTTGGGATGACCACTACTACATATCAATGTTGATATAAGTATAATTTATGATACATATGGAAATAAGTTTTCTATCTGATTTTGTATAGGAGATACCAAAATCATAACGGAATCCAATTTTAGGTTTTTGGTTTTCTATATTCCAATCCAAATATTAAACATTCATATAAAATATATACTTCTTTAATCATTGAATAGAACAATATCATTTTTCATCGTATGATCAAAAAATTTATCTGTTTAGTATAAAAAAACTCACAATTTTACGTATCGAAGGACTTGTTACAGTAAATATTAAATAAATATAATATATAATTAGTAAAACTTATATTTCTTGTGGATAAGGTATAATTACAACTGTATCCGGTATAGTGGTGGATCTGAGATTTTGATATGGGCTCTAATCCATAAAACTTTTGTTGGCATTGTTGCATTCGGTGTTGTGGGCTTTATGGAAAACAAGAAACAACCGTATCCCTAACAACTTGACATGCAATTCTTTAAAGACGACGGATGAGATTCAATTCATTTTTTATAATTGGATTAAGCATATAGCTAGATTTATTTGTTGAATTGGTTGGATTGGTCATTGGTGTATTTTCCCCTTTTGATTTGTACTGTGTAATTTTTCTAGCACCTTGCTAGCTTACGTAATATAATCTCCACTGTTCAATTTTTTTTTTTTCTATTACATGTTTTGCCAAACATGAAAACACATTGAAATTCAATTTGGCGTCTTAAAGTCTCATACTTAACTTTGATGACAACTTAAATATCTTTACCGACAATAACACACATTTGAGTGTGTTTAAAATGCTTTCAAGTTATGAAAACATGAAATTTTATTTTAATAATTATATTTTTAAATGTTTGTTTTCGAAAATAAAGAGATATGAAAACTACGTATATTTATTTTCTCTCACTATGTGACTATACATTTAGTCAATATAAGTTTAGAATGTTTATTTAAAAGGTCAGACGTAAGAATTTCAGGTTCAAACTTCAAATATATTGATCTTTAATTAACATATACATTATTTTATCATGTATTTTGTGGTTGCTCTTCCTTTTCGGGGTTTTGGGTTGAAGAGATCAAATGATAACACAAAACTTGTAAACTCACAAACTTTATTCATTGACTAGACAATTTAAATAAGTAGAGACACAACTTATACTCTAGCTTACAACACTCTAGCTTACAACGTTCATCCCCAAACTTCGCAACAAACCTAAAGACTCGATCAAAAAAGACTTAGACTATTCCCACTACTCGAAGACAAAACACGTGACTCAATAAAACATAATCTTGGATTTAAGTTGGACAAATTCAAAATCAAAGCCCATTATTATCATAGACCAAAAACATAAAAAATAACCCAATAATATCCTCCTTTAAACTAAAAAGCTTCAAGCTTCCAGTTTACAAACGCCAAGTTCTTTTCTGAATTTCATAAAATCTTCAAATTTAATTGGTTTGGTCATGACATCAGCGACTTGGTTTTTTGTTGTGCAGTGCTCGAGTTTCACCACTTCTTGATCAACAAGCTTTCTTATGTATTGATATTGCACATCAATGTGCTTAGTTCTCTTATGAATGACGAGATTCTTAGCAAGCTTGATTGTAGACATGTTGTCACACAAAACCTCATTCTTCTAGCTCCTTCAACAACCCTTTTAATCATACACAGTGACAGGCACAATTTGTGACTACCACGTATCCATCCTCTGTCGAGGATAGTGCTAAGATATCTTGTTTCCGAGAGCTCCAACAAATAGCAACCTTGCTAAGTAGACATGCATACCCAGATGTACTCCTTCGATCTTCTATGTCTCTTGCATAGTTGTTGTCGGTGAATACCTTCAATTTTCCTTTTGGTTCTCTTGCATACACCAGCCCATAATCATTGGTTCCCTTCACATAACGCAAAATCCATTTTGCAGCTTCCATATGTTCCACCTGATGGGTTTTAGGTAAAACAAATAAACTAGAAAAACAATTCCTAAGTTCACATGCAACCTACTTTGGATCTATGTTTTATCTATTGAACATATAACGTTGAATTGCAAACAAGAACCCTAAGGAGAGAGGCTATTTTCGAAAATACCAATTAGGGTGTAAGAGTTACATACCTTTCAATTGTTATAGCAAACAATTGACAACCGTTTGATCTTGATCTTCTTGGAAGCTTAACACCACAAATGTAATGTCTCTAATGGAATCACACCCAAGAGTTAGCAAGAAGGAAACTTATGAGGAGAGAGAGGTTGGGGTATGCAAAATTCGGCCTAAGGTTTCTTCCAAGGTAGGAGTGACCGAATTTAGGAGCTGGGATGCTCCTTATATAGTTGAGGGATCTAGGGTTTAGGGAAAACCCTAATACTCATTTGCTTGGGGCCTAAGCTAATCCAAAGGCCTTATCCAAAGCCCCTTAGACGAAATCCTTAGGGTTTCCCCTATAGATTTCGTCCACCTCCTTCCAAGGAGGTTCTGGAGCCTTCCACTGAGCTATCTGATAATTGCAAACTAGTCCCTACACTTTATAATTAATACTTTTAACCCCAAAATTAATTCTGATTAAATTCTGGCTAACTATTAATTAAACCTTATGATTTCTTATTAATATATTAATCTTTTAACATATTAATAAATCATTTATATTAATTTATTAATCTTATAATAAATCAATATCTCTCCTTTCACAATTTCCTTGTCCAGTTGCTAGGTTTGAGGGCAACCCAAAAGGACTGTGCTGCTATCAATTCAAGTACATACCAATTATAGTTATCGGCTTAGACACCTAATCCAACAGTCTCCCACTTGGATAAGTCTGTAACTATAATTGTCAGTATGCCTTCTAAATTTGACCAACAAATTGTAGCTTCCAAAAGCTGCTGCTGAACTCTGACCCAGTCAGTTACGCGTCATTAGATAAGTGATCATATAATCCTTCGTTCTGCAAGATATCCCCAGACATAAGACATGGAATGTAATCAATCTCTTTGTCCAAAATCTATGCTTCCCGATTTCCGATTTGTGATGATGTAGGACGTCTAATTGAACACCTCAATTTAGTCCTGGTTGGGGCCAGCACATAAGTCAACACCAAATCATCGAGGGGCCCACATATATCGCTTTTCCCGTTATGGCAAAAGGAACGAATAAACTTTGACTCATATGCTTGTATCTTTTACTCATCAAATTATACATGACAATACGTTTTATAACACCAAGTTACTGATGCGTTTTCGTATCACCGATGCATGACCGACTAGTAAATTACAACTCATATTTCTCTGCTTCAAGATCATAAGATATTATCATCTCAATATTACTCGTGATGAATTCCATGAAGTAATACTATGAGCGAGGGTTTAACCAATACTCAAATCTCTATTTCTAAGTACTCATGAACATTGCAGCAATTCTATTGCTATGTCTAACTCCCTTAGACAATCTGCAATCCAATTTATGACAGTCTTAATTCACTACTTACTTCCATAAGTACGAGCGACTGTGGAGTTTGAATAATCTTATTATTCGGGAAGTAAAACATGCAAAAAATGAAATTGTAAAGTGTAATTTCATGGATTAGCACCTTATTCACATTTTCCTAAAGTAACTAAGATTGGGAATTTAATAAAAGCATTTAGTTACTTTATAATATTCATCATACTTTTAATGAGAATTTATAAGTCCTTGTCTTACCCGTTCGGCTAACGACCCTCCACCGATCAAGGAAGCGGTGGGTGAGAGTGGACACCCATTAAGTTGCCATTTTATAGGCAACAACCTTATACCCCCCTTATAGACCGACTTCGTGAATGAGGCGTACTAGCGGTAAGACGACTTGACGTTATACATATATATATTAGTAACTTATAATATTATAAAGTATAAGAGTTGAATTTTAACTTTTAAAATTCTAAGGGTTGGAACTAAAGTTTTAATCAAGACTTTACATGTTCCAAAACTTGAGGGCAAGTTTTGTAAACTTCCAAAACTTTTCATTTCTTATAACTTATGAATTAATTGAGTAATAAAAATGAAGACTCTTCATTTTTATAACTCTTGTGTTCTTTTAATGGCTTTAATAAAAGTGAGACTTTTGGTTTTCCATAACTTGAGGACAAGTTGTGGACTCCATTAAAACACATTATGATCATGAATTAAACTACCATGAAGGTTACAAACAATTCCTATGATCATCTAATCTTCATAAGTTCAAGAACATGAATATGAATACTTTCAAGAATCAAAAATTACACTTAAAAAAAACTTGTAATTTTAATAATTGCCATTGTAAATGGATTAGCATAAACATTACACCATCTAAAACAAGCTTTAAAACATCAAAACAGTTTAGGGTAATGTTTCTAGTCCATTTCTAGCAACAAATGTGCAAACTTTCATACGAGCAGAAAACAGAAAAACGATTTTTTTTCAAGCTGTTTGCACACAAAAACAAACAAACAAACAAACCTAGGCTCTGATACCACTGATGGGTTTTGAGCATTCTAACACTTCCTAAGTGTACATGCAACCCTAATAACCTTGGATCTATGTTTGTCTAATAATCATGCAAAGTTGAATTCCAAGGTTATATTCCTATCTAGCATACATGGGGAACATTTTTAACTTGAATGAAAGATAGAATAACTTACCTTGTTGTTGATTATGATCCTTAAAACCTTGTGAGCCTAGCACCCCAAGTGTGATGCCTCAAATGCTTCACACAACACCAAATGCAAAGGAGTAAACTTTGAGAGAATCTTACACTTGCAAAATCGACTCTCGCCCTCTTGTTTCTTAGTGTAGCCTATTTTGGTGGAGAATGGGTTTCTTATATAGTGTTGACACATCTAGGGTTACACCATGTAAACCTTAATGTGTCATGACTCTTCATTTCCATGACCCATGGGTTTGTAACTCCCATGGAGCATCCTATGGGTGGAACCCAACTTGATAATCCATGGAGCCTCTTAGCCCACTATATAAGATATGGAAGATTTACATAATCTACCCATATATTTAATTAGTTATATTTTGATCACTTAATTAATTCTAAATTAATTCTTGATCAAACTAATTAAATAATATTATTAATATATTAGAACTTATAATATATTAATAAACCATAAGTGTTATTTCTCTCATTTTAGTTTATCCAATTGCATGGTGCCATGCAACCCAAATGGACCATGCCGGGTCGGGTCAAGTACATACCAGAAATAGTTATGGACTTAGACACCTTATCCAACATAAGGTTCCTTCATTAGCCAACTCTTGAATTTCTTCAAGGTCTATGGTGCTCCCACTGTCTTATTTGAATATGAGCTCTCTTTCTAGAAAGACTCATCTTCGTGCTACAAAGACCACGTTTTCACTAGGTCTGTAGAACAAATATCCAAAAGACTGCTTTGGGTAACCAATGAAAACACATTTCTCACTTCTAGCTGCTAGCTTGTCGTGAGTCTCTCGTCTTACGAAAGCTTCACAACCCCAGACTTTAATATGTGCTAACGAGGGAACTTTCCCCGTCCACATTTCGTGAGGTGTTTTGGCAACATTCTTTGTAGGGACAAGATTGAGGACGTGGGCGGCTGTCTCTAAGGCATACCCTCATAAGTGAATAGGAAGCGAAGCATGACTCATCATAGAACGAACCATGTCTAACAAGGTTCGATTACGCCTCTCAGCTACACCATTTAACTGTGGTGTCCTAGGAGGAGTTAATTGTGAGACTATCCCACATTCTTTCAGATAGTCGTTGAACTCGATACTAAGATACTCCCCGCCTCTATCGGATCTAAGTACCTTTATCTTCCTGCCCAATTGATTTTCGACCTCATGCTTAAACTCTTTGAACTTTTCAAAGGTTTCTTATGTTTGATTAAGTAGATATAGTCATATCTGCTATAATCATCAGTGAACGTCACATAGAATCGATTAGCATACCTTGTAGTTGATCTGAAGGGCCCACACACATCTGTATGTATGAGATCCAACAGAACTTCACCTCTTTCACAAGACCCTGTGAATGGTGATTTTGTCATCTTTCCCAAAAGACAAGATTCACACATATCATCTGATTTTAGGTCAAATGATTCCAACACTCCATCCTTTTGGAGTTGGGCTATGCGTTTCTTGTTAATGTGTCCAAGACGATAATGCCACAAGCATGCCTTGTCTACACTATTAGACAAGTCATTATTAAACACACTATTTCCTAAGCTATCAACACAAGTCACTGTTTCATACACACCATCACAAGGCAAAGCTTCAAACACGAAAACACCATTCTTATAAACAGAAATTGAACCATTCAAATCATTAAAAGAATATTTAAAACCTTGTCTGAACAATGCATGAAATGAAATAATGTTTCTCGTCATCTCAAATGAATAGCAACAATTCAATAAATCTAATCTAACATCATTACTAAGCAAAAGTTGATAAACTCCGATCTTGGTCACTGGTGAAGACTTTTTGTTTCCCATGATCAAGTTTATCCTTCCTCGCTCTATCTCCTCACTTTCTTTTAGCCCCTGTAAATCAAAACAGATGTGAAAACCACATCCTGTATCAAGGACCCATGAACGAGAAGATAATGAGTTATTAGAAGAAATAGTGTAAATACCTGCTGAAGATGGCTTCACTTTCCCATCTTTGATATCCTGCAGATATTTTGGGCAGATTCTCTTCCAGTGCCCTTTGTCATTGCAATAAAAGCAATCTGCATCTTTTGGATCAGAAACATGGGGAATGGTAGCATTTGGCTTAGCCTTTGGGCCATTACTAGATGACCCAGCTTGAGCCTTGTTCTTTCAGTTTTGCTTAGGAGGACCTTTCCTCTTTTTCCCCTTTCCCTGTCCAATAGCCAAGACAGGGGCACTTGCAGGAGTGGAGGCTATACTTTTACCCTTCATCCCTGCTTCAGCTGTCTGCAA